CCTGCTATTCACACTGTAGTATCATTTAGCTAAGCTATGGCTATAATACTAATATATGTGTACAGTATCTACGTATGTTTTCTTCTCCTCTGCCTGGTTTTACTGACAAGTGCGTAGCTAACAATACTTCACAGAAGAAACAGTTGTATTCTCGGTAAAGTCTGATGCAGTATTACACCACTTCAACACATGAAACTCCATTATATGAAAATTCTTCGGAAACTTTATTATTTTTTTTCACTTTCAGCCGAAAATTTTTCCACTGCAAAACTGATCAAAAACTTCCCAAAATTCTCAGCTTACCGATTTCCGCCATCTCCGGCCTTTCCACTGGACTAGTATTCACTCCACCGCTACTTTGCGTTACCAAAACCGTCTTAGATTTTTCCTCCTCACCGCTGAGTGCCGATTCCAATGTCATCTCAATTTCAACTTTTTGTTTCAGCTCTTCCTCGAGTTCCTTTACTCTTTCCCTCAAAACTTTACTGCTAGCTTCCGCAGCCTCCAAGGCTGATCTCAACTTGCTCACTTCATTGACCACAGATGAAGGCCACCTCCTCCTAGTTGCCGAGCTCGTCGCCAGAAACTCTTCTCGAATCGATTCGATTTCCTGCGAGTTCGCAGCGCCCTCCAACAAGAAATGCAGCAGTTCATTTTCAGCCCGCTCGGCTGTATGCGAATCCATAGAGCCCCGCAGACTAGACCCGGCATCTGCTTCTGCTGAAGTTGCGAACATCGCTGTTGACTCTGGTGTGGTACTAGCCGTAAAACTCGGTTGAGAATTCCCATCTACACAAAGCCTCAGTGTTGGAATATATATTTGCTCTCCTCCTTATGGGAGTTCACACAGAAACTCAGATAGGAATTTACAAAAACCAACAAAAATTTCCTCCCAGAATTTTCATATTGTCACTAACCCCGGTTCTACTCCCTCACCTCGCATTCTTACCTTCAACGTAATGACCATAATTTTCCTCTAAAGATAATTTTAATTTTTCCACTTCTTTTTCCGCCTCCTCCCCACGTCTCCTCCACAAGGCCACTTGATCCTGCAGCCTTTCAACCTCTCCCGTTGACTTTTCCAACAACGCAACGAGCTCTTCGATTTCGCTCGGGCTGGCCGCCACCGCAGATGCTAGTCCAGCTTCAGAACTCCTCTGAAATCACACTAATACGCAGTGGGGAGAAATACGCACATGGTCAACCACATATGTTGGTGGCGATGCGAAGATAATGAGGAAATTTTAGGAAATTCTCATTGGTTTCTGTAAATTTAGACGGAATTGATTGTGAACTTCTACAATTACTGAGAAACTTCTGAACTCAACTGAGGAAAGCGAACATATATTTCAACACTGCTAATACGTATGAATATATCATCTCGCTTTCCTCAGCTAAGCTCAGGAGCTCACGTACGGACGTCATAAAGTTCCTTGTTAAGAATGTTGCCTCCCTGGTTCACCGATTCGAGAAACCAGCTCTTTTACCAATCTCACCAAAACCGGGAATTCTCAAACAATGATGAAGTGTACAGTGGAGTTGCACCACCACTCTAGTGATATGAAAAAAAACATATTTCACGACTACTGCATATCACCGCGAATGTCCAGTTTTTTACAGAGTATTACGACGCCACTTCACGTAAAACGGGTGGTCGTGAAACTCCGATATATAAAATCGTAGTAAACTAGATGTAATGATATAATCTCAAAATGCTACAGAGTTTCACCACCCTAGTGATATGAAAAACATATTTCACGACTACTGCATATCACCGCCTTTTTCACCGAGTTTTACGACACCACTTCACGTAAAACTCCATTAAACAATTTTCCGATATTGTCACCAACACATGTGCATATTTTCCCACACTAATTCCAAGTGACTCGATACCGACCTGAACAACAGCTTCTTTTTTAGGAGGACTGAAAGGAGTGGTATAAACTAATACCAGTTTTTCCACAGATCAAACCTTTCGACGGTCCTCTCGTTATTTTGCATTGATCTCGTCGTCCGAAGTGAATCGCATTCGTCCTCCAACTCTTGGCATCTACTTGTGAGGTGCTTTACTCGATTCTGTAGATCTACATCATGCAGCACTCCGTAGATTTCACCCTAGTGATATGAAAAAACAACAACACCAGTGGAAAACATATTTCACATTCACTTCGTGGAGAAAAACATTTGTGAAATCTGTCTTGTAGTTTACAGAGAGTATTTCGCCACTACACGTTAAACGGGTGGAGCTCCTATACAGTGTTGGAGTAGGAATATATGTAATCGCTTTCCTCAGCTGCTGAGCTCAGGAGTTTCCTATACAGTATTGGAGTAGGAATATATGTAATCGCTTTCCTCAGCTGCTGAGCTCAGGAGTTTTCTCCCTAATATACAAACTGACATACGAATTCGTGTAAAAATGTACAGGAATTTACAATACTCTCCCAGAATTTCCCCGGAATTTCCAGATTGTCACTAACACATGCGCATATTTTCCCACACTACATGAAAATTCGTATTTGTTAATATTACTCACTTCCTGGAGAAAAACCTTCTTATAGGGAAATTTCCGAAATTTTCAGTAAATTTGTTTCTGGCATGTTAGCGTCACCACACGCTGTCGTGCATGCGCCTATTTTCCCACGCTAGATGAAAATTTTTGTTAATATCACTCGAAAAAAAACGGAAAATTCACGGAAGAACGTCACCACCATATGCATGTTTTCCCACACATGGACCCACCGTGAACAGTCTTAATGTCAATTCTCATTTCCTCGTTAGCAGCATTAACACTTCTAACCTCGCCCTCTAGAACCTACACGTCGCTTGCGCACCAATAAAAATCACCACCCGAAACCACCTGAGCTCGGTCTGCTAAAGCGCTGTTCTCTGCCGTTAGTCGTTCCACTTCCTTAGAAGAATTTGATGCTGACGTTCGTATCGATGCCAGGAGAATTTCTTGCGATCTTATTTTTTCCACCAACTTTCCAACATCTGCTTCGTACCTGACGTTATCGATCGATATACTATACGCCTAACATCATCACGACTGTGTCTCCTGCTGCGGGGATTTTCGTTTCGAAAGCGACCCGTTCCACGTGAAGTGGCGTTGTAAAACTCGGTGATATGCAGCAGTCGGGAAATATGTTTTTCATATCATAAAATTCATGATGGTGTACTCACCAGTGGCTCTGATTTCCCGAGGCCAACTAGAGCCAATCTGAGAGTATAAAAGGAAAGCGAAAACTTGTTCACTATAATTTTCCCTCCAAAATTTACATAGCAAATCGACACGCACTGTATAACCCCTTCGTAGTGCTCTCCGAAAATACTACTTTTCGCGACAAATATCGAACTCATTCTGCAAATCCAGCTTCTCCAACTGCATGCACTGAGCAAACCTAAAACTCCCACATATTGCCCTCTCCACTGTGAAAATATATGTTTGGTTTCCTCAAATGAGCTCGTAAATTTTCTCACTATAGTGTGAAAAACTCACACTAAGTGCACAAAAATCAACGATAAATTCTTTTTCCATTTCGATAATTTTCCAGAATTTCCATATTCCTATCAACACATGTAGCTGACCATGTGCGTATATATTCCCACCACACTGGGGAATATACGCACATGGTCAACTACATGTCTGAGGAATATTATAATTCTTGTATATTTCTACCCAGAACCTTCATAATGCTAAGGGGAAACTCACGAGCTCAGTTGAGCACAATATGCAAATGGTCAACTGGTGATAAAATGAAATTTCTGAGGAAAATTTTGGAAAATTCTTATATATTTCTACCCGAATTCATATGTAAACTTCTATAATAAGCGAACACATATTCCCACGCTGGTGTCTTATCACCTCCGCAGCTGCATAGTAGTCATCACGCTGAGCTCAGGAAGCGGCCCACTCGCTGTGGTTTCTTCTTGCTGTTGCTGTTGTTGTTGATAGCTATCCATTGCTATCTAGGTGGGGACGAGGACTAGCCTGGATGCCATTACTGGCCTCAAGAAAATCTATAAGACAAGTCCTTGTTGGTATCGACAAAACTAAACGCAACATTGACCGAAAAATCAAGCGAGTGAACACTATCATGAGAATTGTAACTAGTGGAGCAGTTAACACCACTGAGCATGTTACCCTATACTTTATTGTGAACAACTATGATTTTCATCCACAGTGTTGGAGTAGGAATATATGTAATCGCTTTCCTCAGCTGAACCTAGAGGAGTTTCCTCACTATACGAATCCGAGTAGGAATTTGCTCAGAATTTTCATATTGTTACCAACATATGTGAAAATTCTTCATCCACACTGAACTAAACATAACGCAATAAATTCATAAAAGACACAACCGGTACGGTAAGATACGCACATGGTCAACTACATGTGTAGGGGACATTCGAGAAAATTCTGAGGAAAATTTAGGAAACTCTCATTGGTTTCTGTACACTTCTACCGAATTTGTATGGAAACTTCTATAATCAGTGAGGAAACTCCTGAACTTAGCTGCGGAAAGCGAACATATATTCCAGCACTGTACCCAGCTACCAACAAGAGGACGCCGGGGAATTCGTAACAAAATTGATTCTCGCCACGTATCGATAGGGGAATTTTTTCAACTGACGGTTCCACGGTGAAACCGACGAAATCACTCATGAAGTATATATGTTATGATAATGATTGGTAGTTGACTATATAGTTGGCATGAGTGAACCAATATTGTTTGGTTGTTGGTATTTCCCTATACTTCAACTTGCTCCTCCCGCAGCAGTTGCGTTGACAGAAATCTATCAAGCTATGGTCTGTGAGAAGAAACTACAAAACTCTCATAACCATCATAGCCACTTATTAATTTACTCAGCACAACACGAACGAGAATATAAACTGTGGAATATTCAACTACCCCCATCGCGCCTCCTTCAGCATGGGAGATCCTATGTGAAAGTAGCATTACTTTCGTCGAGGAAATTTTGTTGGAAATTCTAGAAAATCACATATATATTCCAACTTGGAATATATATGTGATTTTCTCAGCTGAGCTCGAGAGTTGCCAAAAAATACATTATGAAAAATTTCACACAAATTATTAATTTCTTAAATTTTTCTTGTCATCAACCAGTGCTGTATTATATGTTCGCTCTCCTCAGCTGAGCTCAGGAGTGTCCTCATAAACCATAGGAGTCCATACACGGATTGGATCATTCGTGTACAGAAACTAAAAAGAATTTCCCCAAAAATTTCCTCAGAATTTTCATATTGTCATCAACACATGTAGTTGATCCTGTGACCTCTCGCTACCACTACCGCCTCGTCCACATGGCTCATTCGCATCCAACTACGCTGTTATTCCGCAATGTCAATCGATGGCAAATAGCTTCCGTGGTTACTCCATGAAAACGGGAGTAAGAGAGAATCTTAGGTCTAACTTAGTATATAATATTATATATATATTAGTAAGATATATACTTTCACGCTATATATTTAGATATATAAGTATGGTCTATTAGTATATATATCTACCTCACGGTAGTCTGATCGCGTCGCTAGAGCAAACTCTTCATCGGTGTCTGATCGAACGATGAGAGCACCTGGGAGAATTGGCACAGGGTAGAGTATATATTTCATAGCTGCTGGTCCTCGAAAAGTAGTTGGTATTAATGGAAAACCAGAACTGAGGGGAAATCATCGCTGAACTCAACATGGTAAAAGTCTCACAGAAAGAGGTATTGGGTGAATGCTTCACAGAGCTCCTTATTCACAACAGAAATCATACACACTGTAGGAGACAGGCTTATACGTCCTTTGCGAGATTAGCAGAAGTAGTCGAGCCGAAATCGATACGAATAGGTTGACATTGATGGCTTATGTACACTCGGACCTGGTCCATGCTCTGAAGGTTGAACAATCTCAGAAGATCATCGGAGTCATCGAAAGGCCTCAAGCTAAACCATGATTGACCCGAGACGAACTCGTAGTATATGTTACTATAACTGAACGAGGTGCTATCATAGGAACCTAAGTAGCATGCAAGAATACAACCGCGTGGACTTTGAGCATATTCCTAGTGTATTCACTGACGTCATATATACATATCACACAGTGCACTCCCCGTAAATACAAGCTATGTTAACTGCTGAGGGACACCACTTATGCAAGGGTGTTGGGAAGTACCACATTTTGTATTGGAAAAGGTGTGTACCACATGAACGGTGGGACTGGGGCGGAAATTGATGATGATGATATCCTTCGTTGTGTGGCTTTACTGTAGGGGGTTATATACTAAGATGGGGCCGCTATGCCACCATCACATGATGTGCCAAAGGGGGGTGGGGCCGCTATGCCACCATCACATGATGTGCCCAAGGGGGGTGGGGCCGCTATGCCACCATCACATGATGTGCCCAAGGGGGGTGGGGCCACTATGCCACCATCACATGATGTGCCAAAGGGGGGTGAGTCTCAAGTGATGGGGCCGCTATGCCACCATCACATGATGTGCCCAAGCGGGGTGAGTCTCAAGTGATGGGGCAGCTATGCCACCCACAAGAAATATCCCCAGTGAGGCAACTATGCCACCCAGAATCAATATTTCTAATGGGGCAGCTATGCCATATGTCACCTTAAGATACAGCTCACCAATAAAGATACGGCTGTACCGGCGACGAAATCAACAACTCCAATATCGAAGAAGTGTGGAAATCGTTGTTATCAAGGCGGTACTCTAGTTTTCGATGCTCTATATTGTTAGAAGCACATCTGACGTGTAGCTTGTCCCTGTGAATAAGTACTGTCCCATGGCCTATGGGCCATAGGCAATGCTTCTTGAATGTACTGTGTCTTTCCCCTCCCAAAATTTCGTCAAAGTAACTTCGGCGGAATTATTCCTCCTATCCAATGTGGATGCGAAATTCGTTGCATTAGTATTGCACCTTGTTAAGTTAGTTGTGTTCCCCCATATATAAGAGTGATATAGCCGCTTCACTCTGTTAAACTCACTTCGCTAATATGAAGAAAAATGATGGAAAATTTACAGCAGGAAAAAACTAAATTTCTAATAGAGGACTTACCAGCCATGACGCCGATTTTCTTGAACTGGGAAAATTGAAGGGAAACCCCTTGGGTGCTGCTACCGTCGAAGGGGCCTCGGTAAGTGCCGACAATAGCGGCCGTCGCAGAATCACACGTATAGGGCGTATCTAAGAGTATCTTAGGTTCACGATAATAAGATACAGAATAGGTCCTACTGTCAGTCGTCGGAGTCGTCCGTGTAGTCGGACTACTACTGCTGGTATCATCACTAGGAGAGCCCGGCGATGTAGTCGTAGTCTCACCAGGAGTAGCACTCCATGGACTTGCCGTAGTGGTAATATGATTTGGAGAGGAAGTGTCAGGAGTGACCGGTACGAAGTTGGACCGAGTTGACGCACATCCTTGAAATATAACAAGTAACGAGCAGATAAGAGGGAGAACGACTACGACCAACTTGGTCATTGTCTTCAAAGAGGAAGTAAAAGAACAGTAATGTAACTGATGTAGAAGCTTAGTAGTAGTAGCGGCACTGAATTGACAAAAATTGTACTCCTGAATCGCTTCGCTCCGCTGTTTGACAAAACTTCGCTCCGCCTTTTTTCAGATCATCATTTTTATCAACTCTCAACTGCTCAGTGCTTCCTTTCTTCGAATCAAAGTGCAGAAAAATCAATAAGGATTTCGCAAATTTTTTCTCATATTTTCACCAACACATGTAGTTGATCATGTGTATATTTTCCCACACTTCCATTCCTTAAAATGATAATTTACGATTCGACTTTTGTAAACGTAACTGTTACTATTCCTAATTTCCTGAGTTTATGGTAATTTTGGAAAAAAATTCACGCATATTTCAGCAGGTTACTTTTCTTCATGCTAACCACCCGAGCGTCTTCATATGCAGTTGGTCGAGTCGCGATGATCAATATTCGCAGTATATCATCTCGCATCCAACAGGACCATTCGAGCGGACCGAATTCACGGCGGATACGCTCAGTGTTGTCGCCGGTTAAATTAGAAGATGCGAAGCTTTTACAAGATATGCGTAAAATGGTACCAAATTTATTTCATGGGGAAAAGGCGGATTTTGGTAGAGTGCAGGAGATGACTGCTAGGGTAGGAAGTGGGGACGAACGACTGGTAAAAATTTATTTTGTCATTTTCATTTTTTGTCAAAAAAATTGATGAAAAAGTTACTAAAAATTGAGTAAGAAAACATGCACGTGTCGGTGACAATAAGTAATTTCTGAGGAAATTCTCATTGGTTTCTGTACACTTCTACCATAATTCGTATGGAAACTCCCGAGCTCAGCTGAGCAAAGCGAACATATATTTTTACGCCCACACTGATGACGGGGCTGAGGACATTTTCTTGGTGAAAATTTTCAGCTATTTAGTACATTAGATTTACTCTCGTGAAAATTCTTCTCCTAGTGTTGAGAACTGAGTTTGTGTTTGTATGAGTCCTCGTTGTTCAGTTTAAGCGTCAATGGCGATCCTATGATGATGTGAATCTCGTCGTGGAGGGCTTCCGAACTTTGGCGAGGCTTCATGCTGGTCATCGCCCTATGGACGGCGCATTGGCGAAAGACCTTCTGCTATTTATTAGGAGGAACTTGGATCGGGTGGAAGACCTGGGTTCGATAATGTACGTGCGCATGCGTGCAGATTTATTGTGTGCTGTAGTGTCCCGCAGGTATGCATTGTCAATTTGTGTGAATCGTAATAAGGTGATGAATTGTGATGTTGACCAAGTGGAGTTGATTAAAATACGAGACGAACTTATAGGAAGAATTCTGAATCGATTACAGGGCAGAACGGCGCACATGTTGGTCACAGAAAGAGTTCAATTGTTGAACGCCTTGGCTAAATTGGATAACATTATGTTGGTGTTTTCGACTAAATAATCATTCGATGAATAATGGTGGATCAGGTATGAGCCTTTATTCCACGAGTTAATGAGAACTATTTTGGAGTCATATCGTGGCTGCATCGGAAACGACTTGGCGATGGCAAATTGCAACTTTTATAATTCCAGTGTTTACGTTATTACAGCGGCTTCAAAGGCTGGCTTGATTAATAAGGAGTTATTTGATTTAATTGCTGACCAGTGCATAGATGGGTTTGAATATGTAAGGGGGGATTCGAACCAGGGACCTCTAGATGGAGAGACGGGTGCTCTACCGTTAGACTATTATGGATGTTGGTTTGTAGGTGCCGTATATAGCACTCTCGCATCTTCTCATTGGCATGGGCGAGTTGGCTTCCTATGGATACTCCTATAATCGTTGGCCAGATCTGTTCACTAAAACAGCGAGTATTTTAGAACCTCACGAGATGCAAGAGGCGACCTCGTTGGTACCCCCAGCGGCGATTATGCGAATGCTCAAGGGTCTCACACTTGCTACTATCGCTGGTCAACTTACTCAGTCTGAACGTGTTAAAGAAGTTGTTGTGAAAGCCTTGGGGAATCTGGCAGAAACCATAACTGAGCATGAGGGTCTCGCATGGGACAGCCACAGCGTGCCCGACCTTGCGTTTGTGATGGCGCATTTTCAACTTAGTAACGATAGGTTGATCGATCTCGTGACCGCATACTGCACAGATAGAGCGATGGTGGACTGGCCTGTGGTCCATTTGGTGACCACGCTGAAGTAAAACGATTAATAACATGCGTGTGTGATTATGTCGCTGAGATCAGATATGGAATTCGGCTACCTCCGAGCGAAGTCGTGGAGATTTGGCTCGATCGTGTCCTCTCTCATACGCTTTACAGTTGCCGTTATTGCGATCCACCAACTCTTACTGCGTTAATTGAGAGCTTACAATGTTTATACCAACAACCTGTGACGTTTTTACCCGTGTTAAAACGTGATGATCGGTGTCGTCGTATAGCGTTGGCTTGTTCGAGAGAATTGGTCAGATGGATGTTGTATTTCACTGAGGAAGATCTCCTTCGATGCTTGGCAGTGTTACGTACTCTCGAACGTCTAGTCCCCGACCTCACTCTTCAAAATTGGCTCGAGCCGACCATAAGGGAATTCCTACGTCAGAGGACAGCTACTACTGCATGAGTTGATGTTTCTGTTTTAATGATAAAGGTGTGTATCGCGTTATGAAGAAAATCTTGTGAAATCGATTAGAATGGCGCGCGCTTTTTACAAAGGCGTTCAAGAGCAAGATAAAGATATTGTCAAGGTGTTGTTGTTATTATTATTTAATGTTGGCTACCCGCTGCCTTTGCCGTCGTCCTCTTTATGGTTTGTGGACTCAGTCGAGGAGAAGCTACTACTGGGGCTCCACTGTCACCACTGAGATGCACAACGTGTCACCAACCCAGGTATCTTGAGGTTCGCCTTGGTAAGATTCATTTCATGTCAGGTTACGAGACTTCCGAATGGTATGAGAGTCGCCACTCAATTTTCTTATACGGATTCTGCAACGGTTGGTTTGTGGATCGACGCCGGTGCTAGATATGAAACTAAAGAGTCTAACGGTAAATTTATTTTTTTCGGCAAAAAATATCTTTTTTTCCTCAGGAACTGCTCATTTTTTGGAGAGAGTTCTTTACAAGGGCACCAAGAACAGATCGCGCGATCAGCTGGAAACAGAGGTTGAAAATCTTGGCGCTAATTTGAACTCCTATACTGGTCGCGAACAAACAGCGTAAGTTTTCAGGGATGTTTTTTTGTGAATTTTTTCTCTTTAGATTTTATGCTAAAACGACTAAAGATGGTATTTTGCCATGTATTGACATTTTGGCGGACTGCATTCTCAACCCTAAACTCGACGGTGATGAAATTGAAAAAGTAAGTGTGTTTCGTTTTTCGTGGGGGGAAATATGCACATGTTGTTAATGAGCATAAAAAATTTCTGAGGAAATGCTCATTGGTTTCTGAAAATATACACATGTTGTTGGTGAAAATTTGTGAGGAAACTCTCATTGGTTTTCGTATTCACTTCTACCTAAATTCGTATGTAAACTCCTGAGCTCAACTGAGGAAAGCGAATAAATATATTTTTACTCCAACACTGCTGGTTCATCTCAGGAACGGGTTCGTATTACACAAGATCTGCAAGCTGTGAATCAGTCGTACGAAGAACTACTTTACGATAAAGTCCACACAGCCTGTTATAGAGATTGCTCGCTAGGGTAGTGATTTTATCGGTCATTTTTTACTATATTAAATTATTTTTGTTTTTTCGGCGAGATTTCGATTGGATTTTTCTTGTATTTTGGGATGAAATTTTGTTATTTCATCGTTAATATTTCATGTAATGGAGTTTCACTCGCTTTACGTAAAGTGGCGTAATACTCGGTGCAAAACTTATGTTTTTCATATCACTAGGGTGAGAGTCCATAATTTTATCCGCAATTTTTCTTCAGACAAACTGTCATTGGTCCCGAGGAAAATGTGGCGACGATCAAGCGCGACCATATGGTGAATTACCTCTATAATAACTTCACCGCTGATCGAATGGTTCTTGTTGCTGTTGGGCCTGTTGATCACGCGCAAATTGTGAAGGAGGTAGGCGGAGCGAAGCGTGGAATGTTTGGCATTTTTGGTGTTTTAGGCGGAAAAGAAGTTTGCAAATATTCGACCGACTGCGGGGCCGCGTATGTTGGAGGAAAAACCATATTTTTGCGCATCGGAATTGGTCTATAGGTAGGGAAATAATTTTGTGGCGCGTGACGTTTTTTCATGCTGTTAGAAATGATGATATGGGCCCTACGGCTCACA